TTCCCTCCCTTTAGCTTTGGCTCTGGCCCTGGAGCTGCCACTGCTGCTTTTGGGCTAGGCTGGGCCAGAGCTGGGGTCACCAGTGCTTACTGTCCTGAAGCTGGAGCTAGAACTGAAATACCGCAGAAGATACGCAGGAGTTGCGGGGTAGGTTGTGGGAGGGAGCAAGCATAAGGTGGCCATGCACAGGCACAGTGGGGTGGGGCAAGAGTCAGTGGGGACAGGCACAGGGAAAGCAAGGCATGGGGGTCGAGGGGCAGGATTTGGCCCCTTGCCTCCTGCCACTGCTTTTCCCATCACAGTGTTGGAGAGGATAAATTGAAGACAACCCTCCAGTAATTAGATTCTGTATGTGGAAAATTATAAAAAATTTAAAATTTTCCACACAGAGAATCTAATTATATGGGTGTCAGTTTAAATTCAAAGTTGTCTTGGATTTGGATAAATATGGTCATATCTATAAATTATATGTTAGCATATTTAAATACTGCTGTTTAAAAATTTGAAGATTTTTTTCCTCTAATGAGCACTAATATACAAATTAGTGCAGCTGAATCCAGTCTCAGGAACATATCTGTGATTGCTAACAGAATAAAGGTGTAACAGTTGTAGCAATATCAAAAGATACCAGTATCTGATCTGCATGATTCTGTATCACTATTAGGTAGTAAAAGTCCTCCATGGGGAATCCCGCTAAATTCAAGGTCAAGTTTAGGGCAAGTTAGCTAACTTGTATTGCTACAGAATCATGGAGATGTGACAGTTAAATCATAAAATCTGCTGCACACTTTCCTTTTAAAGTGATTAAAATATGTTTGTGTCCATACTGTTAGAACATCTTGCTTAATTTTGTACCTAAGAATTTTATTATTCAATTATATCCCACAGAAAACTGGAAGAGTTCCTGAATTTTAAGCAACTAAAAACATCTTTGAAAGAAGCTGTCATACTAGACTACTATCTGTTGGGATTTTGGTGGGCTAAAGAAATGAATTTCAATCTTACTCAACTCTCAGGATTCATGGCTCTATTAAACTTTTTGTTGGAAAACCTCAGCAGTAAGTATAATTTTGAAAATATTTATTTAAATAGAAAATGAGAATGTTCTCTAAACTAATTGTTTTAATAAGTTGTTAATTTTTTATTAGAACTAATTATTGAAAGTCTGATTTTCCTCAAGAGTATCAGTCTGCTGTGCATTGTACATGGATATAACTCTTGTTGAATGCAGTTAAACTTTGGTTAGAGGGTATGATAGTTTGTTCTAACAGACTGTCTCTTTGTTCTTTGTGCCTTGCACAGTGGGACCATGGTCCATGAAGAGTAGGGTGCTGTCTTGATATAAATAATAATATTGATAATAATAGACTAAGAGCAATGAATACTTGAGTTCCAATTCCAGCTCTGTCAGTGACTCTCTGTAGCCTTAGGCACATTTGAGACATTCCTGTTAGAGACATTCAGTTCAACCTGTAACACTAGGCTACAGTACAGTAAGTGAATTACATTCATTTCATCCTTGGAGGTCAGCTTTTAGACAGATTTCTGAATGTCAGCTATGGTGTTTCTGACAAAGTATATAGGCTTGCTACAGATTGATGCATTAAATATACCAGCATCATGCAAAATGAAAAGTGATAAGCACCAGAATAATCTAAATATCATGGAGTTATGAAGAAATTTGGAGTTGGAATGAAATTTTCAAGGAAGTGTGTGTCCTTGGTCTGTGAAAAACAAAAAAGACTCATAAGAACATAAGGAGTGCCATGATGAAGCAGGCCAATGGTCGATCCAGCTGAGTAACCTGTAAATGACTGTGGCAGCAGTGTAAGCTTTAGGGCAGTGATGCCCAACCTTTACACCCTATGGGCAAGATAGACAGTGCTGCAGGGTGGGGGACAGGGAGGGGAGAAGGGTCACTGTGGATGCTTGGGCGGGGTAGGGAGTGACCCTGTTGCAAAGCAGATGGGGGGGTGGGATGGGGCATAGGGAGTGGCCTGACCATGATCTGGCCGTATGCAGGTGGCCCAACCCTGAGCCAGATGCATGGGGGAGGTGGAGAAGGAGAGGGGAGGCACTGGGTGACGGGGAAGCAGCTGTGCAGTATCAGTTGGGGCAGGGCTATATCCAGCTGCATGGAGCTTGGTTATTCGGTGGTGGGGAGGGGTGGTGGCACTCTTCTGCCTCCAAATTTTCCACCCCATGGGGGTCCCTGTGAGCTAGATGCCATGGCTCCATGGGCTGGATTTAGCCTGTGGGATGGGGGTTGAGCACTCTTACTTTAGGGGGAGAACACTGAATGAGCTATATCTAGTGATATATCTCCTGTTTATTCTCCTCTTTGGCATCTAAACTCATTATTTTGAAGAAGCCAGAGAATACATTTCTGAGGCTAGGAACAGATGTACCTGGACAACAGATGTGCCTGTGTCGTCCTGAAATGGAAATGTCTCAGGATTGGTGTGTACACACGTCCTTTTAACCAGGGTTTGGTGAGCGGCTGAATACACTGCCACTTTTTCTGCCATTGATTCAAAAATGCAGTCCTGGGTTAACCATTCAGATGCATTTTTTAGTGTTCAGATTTTAGCAGCTAATTTATGTAAAAAAATCATTTTTCTGGACATGCTACCCATGGCAGATCAGGACTTTCCTTACTTTGGGTTGCCACAGGCTGTACTATGTCCAGGTACCTGGACTGAGAGCAATGAGCCTCTGTTTCCTTGCTTGGGAGAAGGAAGCGGTCATATTTAAAGATAGAGAGGACATAAACTGGATGAAGTGATGAAGGAGGGGCAATGTTGGACAAGGAGTATGGAGAGGCATGAAAACTGAAGTGGGGTTGACAGGGTAGAAAGAAAAACTGGGACTGGGAAACTGGAGTTGAGGTGGTGACTAGCTGACAAGAAGACAGGAACTGGGAGCTTGGTGGAGATGGGGACTCATAACCCAGGAATCTGCTGTTGGGTAGGCAAGGAGACTAGGACTGAGAGCTAGGGAGGGAGAAAAGGGTGAAGCACCCAAATTATAGAGATTGTCATTGTGTGATTTTTTTTTTTTTTAAATGTGTTTCCTTTACAAAGAACTAAAGGTCAGGATCAGCAGAGAATTAAAGCAATAAGGGAAATGAGTCTGTTATTATACCAGTAATAAATATTCACATTTTGATCTCTGGATTCCTGATAGCTTAAATGAACAAATAATTAAAGTATTATTATTATTGTTGTTGTTGTTGTTGTTGTTAAATAATTTTAAAGTGCATACTTGTGGTGGTGAATACATTTCATATAAATAATAATAATTGTGATGTAGCCCCTTTTTTATAAAACTAAAGTTTGAGGGACTGCAGAAGAGATTATGAAACATTCATCATGTTTCTTTTTGCCATTCTAGTCTTTGCAAATTACAGTGTATGCCCAGTATGTGTATTTTAGTATCAAAATACACAATAACTTACATTGGCTTGCAACAAGCATTAAATTCCAGTGCTGCAAATTTCAGGGAGAGTCTTCTTTGCACCCCTCTGCTCCCATGGCAGACAGGTTCCCATGTTCATGCTGGATAGCTACACTGCCTCCTGCCCCACACAAACTCTGAGTCACCCAGAGAAGTGCATTAGGCAGGGGGGATTCTCCCACAGCTGGACTTGTCCAAGTACAGGAAGGGTCCAGCTGCAGGAGAATGCAGCAAGATCTCCACAGGGCTTCCTGACAGCTCGGCACTGGGTGGACTACCAAGGAGTCAGGGCTGTCCCTCCCTCCTTCCTTCCAACAGGAAGGGAGGAAGAGTAGAGCATTGGAAGGTACTGGGGGTCCTCAGGAGCATACAGCTATTCAAATTTTCCCAGGAAAAGAGAGATCTTTGTTATTGGAAGTATTCTCATTTTTTCCTGGAAGATCCTGTTGTAACCTGTGCATAGCCTTGGGTATGTACAGACATTTGATGAGGTTAGATTGAGTTAAAAATGGCCACCCGGTCTAAGATAAGTCAGGATGGGGAGAGACTAGTGGGGGAGAGGGCTTGGGAGGATTGAGTGGGCAAGCAGGTTCTGGAGGGAGAACAGGAGGGCTATTGGGGTCCATGGGGAGGATCAAGTGTCTGGCAGGGTCCACAGAGGGGACTGAGGAGGCTGGTGGGATTCATGAGGGGAATCAGAGGGGGGCAGGCAGAGTACACAGGAGGGATTGTGGGGGTTGAGGAGAAAGTGGGGTCTGCAGGAGTATTGGGGGGGCAAATGGGGTCCACACGGGGTGTTCTTGGGATCCAGGAGAGTTTGGCAGGATCAGGGGTTTGTAGGGTCTACAAGGGGCTTGGGGGATGGGGGGAATTCTCTTCCCCACCCCCTGGGACCAGAGGCTATTTTTAGCTTCCCAACCCCCCCCAACAAACAATTCCTCTTGGCAAACCTGGGGGGAGAGGCCAGGGGCCTAAAAATAGCCTGGTGCTGGGGGGTGGAGCTAAGAAAAGTGCAGCTTTATGGCTGGGGCCAGCAGTTGGGTTTCCCAGCCCTAGGGGTGTGCTAGGAACTGTACAGAAGTTCAGTTAGATTGGTCTCACCGCATCCAGTCTAAGTTACACTACTCTGAGGTACATTTAACTTAGATTGGGTTGGTCATTTTTTTATACTGATCCAACTGTCCTGAACTTATGTTTAGTTCACACTTAGGTCCACCTAACTAAGGGTCTAAGTGTAAGGCCTGCACCAGGGTGAACCAAGTTAAATCGGGTGGCCATTTTTAATGCCAACTAACCTCCTCAAACATCTGTATGTACCCATAATGACAGAATAGGGGATGCCTTCATAGCTGTCACTTCTGTTTCCTTAATCCTCTGGTTATTAATTCAAGTGTAGGTATAGTATGGAAGTAATATTCATTTTCTATTGTATACAATCTTAAGAATTTAAGGAAAACTAGAGTTCTGAGGAAGAAAAACAGACTTCAAAATTGGGTCCCAAAAGTAATTTCTGAAACATAATGTTCTCCAGTTTACATCCATGTAGCTCATTTTACTTGAAGAGGGCTAATCCTAATTGATAATAAGTGAAAGAGAAGGAAATCAAACCCCCAATTTGGTCATGGGCAAGGAATTTCTTGAGAGCAAGTAATATGAAACTTTTTTTCTATGCTTTATATCCTCCACAAACTAGATAGCTGCTATGCTGGTAAATAGTGTCTCTATCCAATTCTCTTTGAAGTTTGAGGAAACCTGAATACTATATTATTATACACAGTGTGCACCAAGGATTGTAAAAGTTAAAAGTAACTCAAAGAAATGTACTGGTTGAATGAAAAAGGAAAAACTTTGAAATACTTCCTTAGAATTAGATGATCTCTACCTTTCACTACCTCCTGTGTTTTCAATTGCTGTCCTAATATTCAGTTAGTTCTTTCAACTCTATTATCCAATGAGAGAATTCCTTCTAACTTGTTGTTAATGCCTGCTCTGTAACTGAAGACATGCCTTATCCAAGAGAACCATATCCTGATATACAGATTTAGTTGATCTAGTTTTTCATATTATTGATTTCTGTCCCCAGTAACCAAAATTAATAAAAATACCACCAGATGCATCAATTGAAAGAACTTATCCAGGCTTCCACAACAAAAGATATTTCTCATTTCCAAAATTCAGACATGTAGGAGAAAGATCTGTTACACTATGGCCTGTCTTAAATGGCCAAAGGAGAAATTTTCAAATGGCATACCTAACATTCTTATATGATTTAGGTGCCCAAACTTCCTTTGTGTCATTGTAAACTTCCACTAATTTGATAAGATTAATAAAAGTTTAACTTGGTCTCTATGTTGACTTCTTTACTTCAAGTACAAAGTAAAATTATAATCAAGAAGGATAATTTGTAAATATGTCTAAAAAATTAATACACAATTGTATATGATTCTTCTATTTCTTATTTATGTTACAATGGGCTGTATCAAAAGAATAGAGTACATGAGCAGGAACAGATACATTTTTAAGATATACATCTGTATATAGTCTGCATCTAGAATTAGAATCCAACCCTGACTTTCTGTGTATTTAATTATGTAAGATATTTGAATAAGTAAGAGATCAACTCAGAGATTTGAATACATCACTGCTCTTATCCTTACAGTGATTACTGATCATTTTGTAAATGTGAACGCTAATGTTTGAGGTAAGAATAATGGCAAGAAGCAATAATGTTTGTCCAGGAGGTTTTTTTATATTCTACATGGCTTCAAATACAACTTTTCAAGCCTTGAAAAGTCTTACAACATAATATGCCAAAAAAAACTATCACATTTTTTTTAGTTTTCTTTTTCTTCTGGATTGCTTTGTAGCTAAACATATGACAGTAGAAGACAATGTAAAAGAGCTTGGGAGAACAATGGCTGGAATAGGAGAACCTCATTCAGGAAAAAGTGGTGACTTAGATTTCTTCAGTGTTGATCAAGCCAAGGCTGTAATCAGTTACTTGAAAATCAGGTATTTTTTTTTCCAATTTCAGTTATGTTTGTATTCTTACAATAACATTAAGGGATCTGTCAGTAAAATGAGGTGAAGTGATTTCATTAGACATGTTTGTACTTTGCCACAATCTCCTACACACAAAATGTAAAAAGGGAAAAGAAAAAAAAAAAACCCTGAAAAACCTGAAGATCGGGATTCAAATGACAGAAACTAAGGAATTCAGATTTGGATTAACACTCT